GCTGCCTAGCAAAAAACAAACCTATACCATGGTTACAAGTAATATCTATAATATGTACAAATCTGTGTCTGTATAATATATCCACTTGAAATAATTGTACCGCTTACAATAATGCGTGACATATAGACAATAGAATTACAACTGGCATAATACAGCAGAAAATTTACGATGGGTATCCTAAAGTAGTCATCCCTCAACCCCCCCCCCCCAGGCAGGATTCCACTTCACCTCACCAAATTTACTCCCTTACTACTAAAATCTGCTTTCTACCGATCCATACCTTGTAACAAAAGTGGCATAGCCATATCATCAGTAAGGTATCAGAGGTATGTATATACAGTACTTGGACACAATAATGGACCACTCTGTAAGAAAACTGTTTCATATAATGTAGAGCGAACAATATAGGAAAGAAATGACATTTTGAACAAAGAGGTTCAGACCATTATCCACACAAAACATCTATATAAAGCATCTCGCTACACACTATACCTATAATTAAAACACAAAACTTCCAGTACACACTGTACAGCTCCCAGGCCGCATTACATACATTACTGTGATCCTTATGTACTGACTTAGTAAAACCAGCACTAACAGGTGCATACAGAATACATCTCATAAAACAATGCATTACAAAACTCTAACAAAGCACGCTATATGCAACTAACACCAGCCTGGGAATTTAAATATTCACAAAAAAACATTACCATTAACCACGGCGAAGCCTCTGCTGGTGACTTAGTAGTTTCATTGAATTAGTATATTATGACCTGATTCTAATGATTGTACACGTAAGCAAGGTATACACTACCAAGGCGAGTCCTGCCTGCACACCAACCTTTCCTTCCGGGAAGTCCACGTAGAAGGCACTCCTGGTAACAAGGTTTACTACCGTTAATGGTACCTGACATCATATGGCGTCAAGAGCAGATTGCTACAACACATTATGTAGCATTTGTTACACACCAACCTAACCAACCATCCAAAACAGCCTTTTCTGAGCATCCAAACTTGTTTTCCATTCATTACGAGTAGGTAACAATAAAAATCATTCGTCTATTCAACTATGTAAACGTTACAAGGAAAACCACAACACTGGTGAATGAGAAAACCAAACCTTGGTTCTGAGTACCACTCCCCCCCCTTTCTCAGGCTATGACACTCAATCACGCTGGCAACAAGCAATACCCCAGACCACACAAGGGTCCCCCTTCCTCACCCTACATTACACCCCGATCACCATACACACCAAATAACATGTACATTCCAGTCGCAAAAACCTAACTCTCCCCTCCCTTCCCCTCCCGGGAGACCAACCCATTCGCTCCACCAAGAGATTATATACCTACCTACACCTCATTACTCCTGTAACGTTTCCATCGTTAGATTCCTATACCCCAACGAAAAAGCTCCTTCCCAGCATTGCCCATGACACGTATAGTCCAGTACCAAATATGAAACCGAACATCATACCACATCCGACCAATCTCCCATCTCAAGACTCAAAACTCTAAGTATCGACAAAGCCCCCCTCCCACTCATCTGAGAACACCCTTGAACCAATCCCTAACTGTAAACCGTCACAAAGGTATACGACGTGAAACGCCATTTCCGGCCACCCGCACCACGCACAGGTCTGATCCTGAGTCATTCCCATAATGTACAATTGTGCTTTGACGCCAAAATCCCATGGATGAAGCAGCAACCAGTTTCTCTAACCGGTGGTTGTAAGCGCAATTTCTTGAACCACTGCCATATAGTCTTCCAATGATATCCTGGGAAAACCTCATCACCAATGACCTTTCCCGATGTTATACCTATATTGTCTAATTTACCTGCCCTAACTCTCATAGGGTTATGTACCACCAATAAGTGCCATAACAGTGCTTTGCACCTCATGAGGTCTTTCCCCACCCACCATCGTCGAACCTCCCTCATCACCGCGTCAACCCTCGCTCCCCTGACCCCACCCCTTGTCAAGATTCCTGTGGTACGTATATGCTCATTAGGTGACTGTGTGGTGGTATTAACCCCAAACCTCCCTCAGCTACTTGCGTCATAACAATGTCCTTCCCTAACCAATGCCTACGGTAACCCCATATGAAATTCAAAGCCTTCCTTTGTAACCGCAACACATCGTCCGCCATCAGTGGATAGACCGCTGAAACATACCATAATTTATTATACACCAGTACATTGACAACGATTACTCATTGGTGTAAGGTTACATCACTCGGTCGCCATCCCGCCATCCTACGAATTACGTGTGCTACCACAATCGACGAATTAATTGCATGCGCCGCCTGTTCATCATTGCAAGAATACACACCACATATCTTTATCCACTCAACGGTTCTCCACCCATACTCCTTACCCAAAGTCCCCCCCACCCAGGACCCCACCTCCAAAAATTTGGATTTTCCTCTATTAATGCGCATGCCATACACATCACTAAAAAACCCTATAACCTGATTAACGAACGCCAAGCCATTCCTACTATGCACCATGATAGTGGTATCGTCCACATAACCTAAAATCCCTACTGCTTCACCCTGCGCACAATCCTCCCCCCCTACCCCACCCATTACTAATCTATAAAAGGGGTCCTGCAAACAGGCAAACAAAAGCTGTGAGAGGAGACATCCCTGCTGCAGCCCCCACCCCATGCCTATCGCGGACCCCAACCTTCCCACGCTACTACTTCTTCCCCAAAACCCTGCTTCAATAATATTGCTAATAATGTTTCCCTATCCACATTGTCAAAAGCCTTTTCCCAATCTAATCCTACGACCCCGCCTCCACTACAATCCTCCACGAAACTTTTGAGGTGTCGATGACCATCCCTCATAGACCGTCCAGGAATCCCGTATTGCCCATCCCATATTACCATGTCCAAAAACCGTTTCATCCGGTTTGCCAAAATATGCGCAAAAATTTTATAATCCTCCTCCATCAACATGATGGGCCTATATGCCTCCAAAGATTCGCTGACCTCGGCCTTTGGTACCAACACTACAATGCCCAACCCCGCCTCACCGCCCATTCTACCTCTAATTTTTATTGAATTGTAAAGTCGAACCAACACGTGTTTTAACAGTTCCCAATGAACTACATAAAAGTCACCTGGTATTCCATCCCAACCAGGCGATTTCTTCAGTGCCTGTCCCTAAACAGCCTTGTATACCTCCTCCTCTCATATACAACCCTCCATGTCCTCTCGATCCACGTCACTCACATTCGCCACTATGCCATGCAGTAAAGCTTCCCTTGCCTCTCGATTCCCCTCCCTACCCTTCCATTTTCTCTCAAACCATTTGTCTGTGTAGGTCCCTATGTTCTCAGTAGTAACTAGCCTTTGTCCCTTACAGTAACCACCCAAGTCATTGCCGACCACCACTCACAATACTGTCGTCGCCATACATCTCATTCTGAAACTACATAGAACCCCTACAGAGGGTTTATCCCCCCAAAGCACCTCCTCAATCCCCGCTCACACCTTCAATGCCTGAAAATTATCATTCTGAATTTCCCGTAATTGACTACGAAGGCACTCTATTTCCGCGAGATCATACCTCCCACCTGCAACATAACAATCCCGCAGCTGTCCCTCTAAATACCTTTGCTTCCCATATCTATAACACGCCTCCTCCTTCCCTAACCTTCTATAAAAGACCCATATCACATTTTTGCCTTTGAATGCCACCACTCCACAACATCCTCTATCCCATTTCCTTCATTCTAGAATCCAACCCATCATAACCTGAAAGCTTCCAAAGCATCGACTCCTTGCAACAAATTAACATTTAATTTCCAATAACTAGAAAAACACGGATAACACCCTCCCACTCCAGGGTTACCAGAACACCACGGTGGTCTGAAAAACCCAGATCAACACAATCAAGCCTGCCACTACGAATTAAGCTAGTGACGTAAACCCTGTCTAACCTCGGTGCGTAATCCCTCCTACAAAATGTGTGTGTTCCACATTCCGCCCGTCGCTACCCACAACATCCACTACACCAATCACCTGCAGAACCTCCCGTAAAACCCCTAAATTACACCCCCCGCCATGCGGTTCGACATCTTTTCCCCGGATCACACAATTCCAATTGCCAGCAACAACAGAAACTAAGGGTAGACTCCTGAGAAAATAAACCAAAACATCACGTACAAAATCCTCCTTTACTCATCGATTTGATGTCACTGACATATATACTCCAACGAAACCCACCTGAATGTTCCCCCATGATCCCACCACCTTCAATATCGGAGGGATGTGGGTGGCTATTACAAACAAAGGTGTAGTCTAGTGGTCTGTACACCTGGCTGTAGCATAACCACGGTAGGAAAGAGGAAAAAGGCAGCAGAGAAAGTAAATACTTATATTTCCTTAATCAAATAGTAATCAGGTATGTACAGTATATACAGCGGATATATACAATAAGGCAAATGTAAGCAACAGACACAGAGCAAACTGCAGACTGGGAGGTAAGTCTGCATAAGCTGACTTACGAGTCTCCCACATTGCTAAACAACTTCGGCGGGCTTCCTTGTAATTGGCTGGTTGAACCAAGGAAGGTATTCGTTATACCCTTAACATCTGGTTCGCTTGTCGGAAAGGCATGCCTATACGAGTGTGTGACATATGCCGAATAAAATGTAAAATACTCTTAGCATGCCACAGTGGGATTACTGTTATGTAAATGGACAATATTATCAGAGTACCACACTTGGCTCCACTCCGGAGACAGCGAGTCTGGAACATAATGACATCATCGAAATAGTCAGACCAAATGAAATCGCTGGCCTACAGATGACTCCAACCTCACCCTTTTCCCTATTTGTACATCTCTTAACAATAAAAAGCTCTTTTAAGTGAGTTTATGTAGTTAACAGCTCTTAGCTTGTAAATAAAGGCAGAAATCCTTAACCTAACCTTGTATAACCCTTGTGTATAAAAAAAGAGGAAGGAGTATTGAAGAGGATGCAGTACTCACAGTTGAGGACCCACTCGCTAGCAGGAGCGTCAGCGAAGTGCCGCATGAACTTCTTAGTGCCCTTAGAGATCCTGGGGGGTCCCTCACTGTCACTGTGACGAGGAGATGCTGACGGTGACATGGCCGGCGTACTGCGACTCAGGTTCTTCAAGGCATGTCTGTGGTGATGCAGACGACCAGTGTTAGTGAGGAAAGAGAGAGAGAGAGAGAGAGAGAGTGAGAGTTGCCAACACAACTAGAGATTTGATAAATTAAACACATGTTACACTTGGGTATCTTTAGTGAGGAAACGCTTCGCCAGACAGTGGCTTCATCAGTCCAGTACAAAGAAGAATGGTAACGATCAGACTGAGAGTTTAATGACCTGAAACTCCTTCTCATCTTCACTAGTCTTTGTATCGGACTGATGAAGACACTGTGGTGAAACGTTTCCTTAATGAAGATACACAAGTGTTGCACATGTGTCTAATTTATCAACTTGTCAGTTCTCTGAACCATTTATCTACACAACTAGAGAATTATTGAATATTAATATTAAAAGTGCACTATTATTATTAGATTTGCAAGATTGTTTTAATATTAAGCATAACCATAATTTTCAATTTTCTTACCTGTCATATCGTGGACTCAGAATAAAGTATTCCTGTGCAATCAAAAGTACAATGTATACAAAATTTTATTTCAAACTAAGTTCATTTCTTTTAATTATGACTGATTCTTTTCGACACAGTCTAGAAAGATGAGAGAAGCGGCTAATATTACATCACAGTGTAAGATTGCTGAACATGGCTGAGTTCTTCTTGTTCTTGTTCACTTGTTCATGTGATGCTACTGTCACCAGTGTCACACTAGTGTTAATGTGTTACTTAAACTTATATGATAGAATATTAACATGTCAGCTAGACGTATAATAACTCTCTGAAGGACTGACTGCTCACATATACTAGACCAAGTCTCTCCATACACACGGTTATGATTTAATGATTCCTAATATTTACTAATAACTGCCGTATATAAGATTATGATAATCACACACACACACACACACACACACGCACACACACACACACACACACACACACACACACACACACACACACACACACACACACACATACACGTCACTAACAAGAGTCCACACTCAGGACAGGTGAAGTGTTACAAGGTACACGGAAATTCTCATAGCAAAAATGCTCGATCAACAAAAATGTTAGATCAATATACTACAGCATGCGAGAGTTGGAAATGTAAAGTAATAAAAATATAATACTTAATACTGGAGACTTACAAGGCACCGGCAGACTTTTTGCGTAACCCTCTGGGATCATCGTCAGAGCCGTTGCTGGTGCTGTAGGGTCGAGGCAGCGACATCATAGACCGAGCTTCACTTAAGTTTACTTCATTCCTGAACACTTGGGCATCATGGCCGTGGCTGGAGGGTGAGGACGTGGTGGGAGCGACGGGAGTAACGGGCGTGATGGGCGTAGATGATGTGCTGCTGCTAGACAGGCGTTGTGGCAAACCCGACTTTCGATAATTGTGTGCTGGAGCGGTGCTCTCACCCCGCTGTATAGTAGAAAGCCTATTGTGGCTCTGTGGTCTGTCATCACCAGAGGGACTGGAGAAGGAGGTGGGGCGGACCACCCTGGCAGGGCGCTCAGGAGCTGCACACTCAGTCTGACGCCGCCGACGAACTATAATTTTAGCTCCGACGTCCCAAACAGAGCGAGCTCGACGGAGTCGCTCCTGGTTCTCGGCGGTATTGCGACCACTCAGATCCATCATGGAGGTGCTGGGTGCTGCTGGGTAATCCCGCGGCATCTTGGTGGCAGTTTCAGTAAGGGTAGTGGTGGTGGTGGCAGTGGTACTGGTGGTGGTGGTGGCACTGGTGGTGGTAGTGGTGTGGCAGTAAGCTTGGTTGTCTGGCACCAAGATGCCACTACGAAGGAAAAGCAAAGATTTTAACTTTGCCTTAAGCTTCATTCAATAATGCCACCTGTGGTGTACATCCCACAGTACTGCTCACACACACACACACATACTCACACGCACACGCGTGCGCGCACACACACACACACTGGGCACCGTTAAGACAGCTTCAGTTGTGTCGTTAGACAGGATTATTTTCGTTTTCTCATCTATAAATACTTGTTAGGTAGACACAGTTGGCTTCTGGTTAAGGCACTTGAGTGTGTGTGCTGGACCTTCCTCCAACCTTCACGAGCAAAGGCTAGACAAGGTCACCTGGTAGACAAGGTCACCTGGTAGACAAGGTCACCTGGTAGACAAGGTCACCTGGGTAGACAAGGTCACCTGGTAGACAAGGTCACCTGGTAGACAAGGTCACCTGGCTCACCTCTCTGCAGGTCTCACGTCACACGAGGGGGACGAAAGTCTGCGTCTTGTAAACTGACTTTTTTAGTTATCCCTTCAGAGTCACGTCCACTGATACATCTGTCACTTCTGTGAAGACAACTGTAATGCCCGTGACGTCACTCCTGCTATTTTCTAATTCCTAGAACAATAATATTAAATAAACATATTCTTTCTGTTTCTTTAAATCAAGTAAATAAATGTCTTGAACGTTTCCTTTTTGATGCAAACTTATTATTTCTTGGTGAGTTTTGATTTTCTTTAATGGTGAATATTTTCTTAACACATTTTCGTAAGCACACACATGGCTATTGCCAGATACCATCTTCTCTCGGGCAGGTTTTCTTTATTAAACACACAATACGTTTTCCGACAGACACATTTTATGAATATTAACGCAATGTTATTGGTAGGAACGTTATCTTCTGTGAGGCTCCATGAGTCACGTGGTATTCAGCAATGTTTTAAAAGTCTTAGGAGTCAAATAGTATATTAAACTCACCGGAGAGTGAATGCATCAAATTTATAAGGCAGAGACCGTGTCAAACACAACACCCAGAGGTGAACGCACGAAACAAACACAACTACCTGAATGACAGATGCCACAGCCAAAGAGCAAAGGGTGAGACATCAGAATGAGAGAGTCTAACCAGCAGGTTCGCAAGAATCAGCATTAGGATCCCAACTCTTCCTAATATATCAACGACCTACTAGAGGGGCTTGGGTGGTATGTGTGACTATCTGTTGATGTAAAACTTATGTGAAGAATAAGAGCAGCAGAGGAAGTGACAACCTCCAGAACCTCAACACAGCTCCGTACATTGATGGACACTATGGAGCTCAAGGCTGCGGTACAGATCACCTTAAAATTACTTCAAGGAAGAGAGACTGATCACTTCTTTTCATTTCTCCACTACATTTGCTGTTTCCAACATTTACATCACCTCTGTCTTCTACTGACTATATACACAATTATTGCACATATGTCTTACCCATCTGTCAGGAAGCAGATGTAGTAATCTCTGGAGTTCAAACCGAACAAATGTAACGTCATGTGAAATGGATTTATGGTAAGACCGAACACAAAGTACAGCATGGGCGGAGAGAAGTTGCAGATATCAAGAGAGAGAGAGAAGGACCTGAAGGTAAATATAGCTCTAAGGACATAGCCATATATATAAATCGTATAACGTCAACTGCATATGCAAGATTAGCAAACCTCAGAACAGCATTCAGGAACCTGAATAATGAATCCTTCAGAATCTATTATATGACATATGTTAGGACAAATATTGAGAACATGGCGCCAGCACACAGCCCCAACTGGTCAAGCACGCACAACCAGACTAGTGCCAGAACTGAGAGGAATGCACTATCAGGAAAGAATGAAGGAAGTGAACCTCACCACCTTTTCGGAGAGAACTAATAGTGAAACAACATACAAAATAATGGACAAAAATGATGGAGAAAATGAGAAAAGACTGAATAAAGAGGACGAGGTTCGAGAGGACACAGGTGGAAGCTGATGACACAGATGAACTATACGGAAACAAGGATGTAATTCTTTAGTCTGTGTCTGGTTGAAAAGTGGAATGACTCAGATGAGGCAGTGGTGGAGGTAAACTCACTACTGAGCTTCAAGACTAGATATGATATGACCCAAGATCAAAGTTGTGAGTTTCGACTCACGCACACACACACACACACACACACACACGCACACACACACACACACACACACACACACACACACACACACACACACACACACACACACACACACACACACACACACACACACACACACACACACAGAAACAGAGAGAGATGGTAGAAAGGCGAAAGGAGGAAAGAGAGGGGATTGAGAAGACACACAGGAGATCCCAGACACAGGAAGATCAAATACAGCCTCCCTCACAACTTCCTATAGAAGCCTCCCAACCAGGTCACCCCAGTGCAACCAAACACTCTAAACCAAAACACCCATGCCACATCCAATGCCCCCACCCACTGCATTACAAACTCCACCCCCACAGCAACCACCCATAGTTCCTTATCAGGTCTCCCACTTCCCCAACCCCAATACACCTCCCAGACCACAATCTTAAAAAAGAAGTTGAAGGTGTGGTATACAAATGCAGATGGAATAACAAATAAGTATGAGGAGTGGCACGAAAGAATCAAGGAGACATCCCCAGACATAATAGCACTCACAGAAACAAAACTCACCAGAATAATAACAGATTCAATCTTTCCATCCGGATATCAAATCCTCAGGAAAGACAGAGGGAGGAGAGGGGGAGGAGGAGTTGCACTGCTCATTAAAAACCAGTGGGGGTTTGAGAAAATGGAAGGAATGGATGGCACGGGCGAAAGGGACTACTTAGTAGGAACAATCCAGTCTGAGGGACATAAGGTGATAATTGCAGTAATGTACAACCCACCACAGAACTGCAGGAGGCCAAGAGAAGAATACGATGAGAGCAACAGAGCAATGGTCGACACACTAGCCGAGGTGGCCAGGGGAGCACACATGGGGGGAGCAAAGTTACTAGTTATGGGTGATTTCAATCACAAGGAGATTGACTGGGAAAACCTGGAGCCCCATGGGGTCCCGAAACATGGAGAGCCAAGATGATGGATGTGGTACTGGAAAACCTCATGCATCAACATGTTAGAGACACTACCAGAGAGAGAGGAGAGGATGAACCAGCAAGACTGGACCTTGTATTCACCTTGAGTAGTTCTGACATCGAGGATATCATGTATGAAAGGCCCCTGAGAGCTAGTGATCATGTGGTTCTGTGCTTCGACTACATAGTTGAGCTCCAAGTGGAGAAAGCAGCAGGAATAGGGTGGGAAAAACCAAACTACAAAAGGGGGAACTACTCAGGCTCGAGGAACTTCTTTCAAGACATTCAGTGGGAGAGGGAACTGACAGGAAAACCAGTACAAGAAATGATGGACTATGTGGCAACAAAATGCAAGGAGGCAGAGGAGAGGTTTGTTCCCAAGGGAAACAGAAATAATGGGAAGAACAGAATGAGTCCTTGGTTCACCCAAAGGTGTAGGGAGGCAAAAACTAGGTGTACTAGAGAATGGAAAAGGTATAGAAGACAGAGAACTCAGGAAAATAAAGAGATTAGCCGAAGAGCTAGAAACGAATATGCACAGGTAAGAAGGGAGGCTCAGCGGCAATAGGAAAATGACATAGCATCGAAAGTCATGACTGACCCGAAGCTGTTATACAGCCACATCAGGAGGAAAACAACAGTCAAGGACCAGGTAATCAGACTGAGGAAGGGTGATGGGGAATTCACAAGAAACGACCGGGAGGTATGTCAGGAGCTCAACACAAGATTTAAAGAAGTATTTACAGTGGAAACCAGTAGGACTCCAGGAAATCAGAGCAGGGGGGTGCACCAGCAAGTGCTGGATGAGGTACACATAACCAAGGAGGAGGTGAAGAAGCTGCTATGCGAACTTGACACCTCAAAGGCGGTGGGACCAGACAACATCTCTCCGTGGGTCCTTTAAGAGGGAGCAGAGATATTGTGTGTACCGTTAACAAAGATCTTCAACACATCATTTGAAACTGGGCAACTCCCCGAGGTATGGAAGATGGCAAATGTAGTCCCAATTTTTAAAAAGGGAGACAGACATGAGGCACTAAACTACAGACCTGTATCACTAACGTGTATAGTATGCAAGGTCATGGAGAAGATCAGGAGGAGAGTGGTGGAGCACCTGGAAAGAAACAAGTGTATAATTGACAACCAGCATGGTTTCAGGGAGGGAAAATCCTGTGTCACAAACCTACTAGAGTTTTATGACAAGGTGACAGAAGTAAGACAAGAGAGAGAGGGGTGGATCGACTGCACTTTTTTGGACTGCAAGAAGGCCTTCGACACAGTTCCTCACAAGAGGTTACTGCAAAAGCTAGAGGATCAGGCACACATAACAGGAAAGGCACTGCAATGGATCAGAGAATACCTGACAGGGAGGCAACAACGAGTCATGGTACGTGACGAGGTGTCAGAGCGGGCGCCTGTGACAAGCGGGGTTCCACTGGGGTCAGTCCTAGGACCTGTGCTGTTCTTGGTATATGTGAATGACATAACGGAAGGGATAGACTCAGAAGTGTCCTTGTTTGCGGACGATGTGAAGTTAATGAGAAGAATCAAATCGGATGAGGATCAGGCAGGACTACAAAGAGACCTGGACAGGCTACAAGCCTGGTCCAGCAACTGGCTCCTTGAGTTTAACCCTGCCAAATGCAAAGTCATGAAGATTGGGGAAGGGCAAAGAAGACAGCAGACACAATATAGTTTAGACGGCCAAAGTCTGCAAACCTCACTCAAGGAAAAAGATCTGGGGGTGAGTATAACACCGAGCATATCTCCCGAGGCGCACATCAATCAGATAACTGCTGCAGTATACGGGCGCCTGGCAAACCTACGGATAGCGCTCCGATACCTCAGTAAGGATTCGTTCAAGACTCTGTATACCATTTACGTCAGGCCCATACTGGAGTATGCAGCACCAGTTTGGAATCCAGACCTAGTCAAGCACGTCAAGAAATTAGAGAAAGTGCAAAGGTTTGCAACAAGACTAGTCCCAGAGCTACGGGGATTGTCCTACGAAGAAAGGTTGAGGGAAATCGGCCTGACGACACTGGAGGCCAGGAGGGTCAGGGGAGACATGATAACGACATATAAAATACTGCACGGAATAGACGAGGTGGACAAAGACGGGATGTTCCAGAGAAGGGACACAGACACAAGAGGTCATAATTGGAAGTTGAAGACTCAGATGAATCAAAGGGATGTTAGGAAGTATTTCTTCACTCATAGAGTAGTCAAGCCGTGCAATAGCCTAGAAAGTGAAGTAGTGGAGGCGGGAACCATACATAGTTTTAAGGCGAGGTATGATAAAGCTCATGGAGCAGGGAGAGAGAGGACCTAGTAGCAATCAGTGAAGAGGCGGGGCCAGGAGCTATGACTCGACCCCTGCAGCCACAAATAGGTGAGTAAATAGGTGAGTACACATACACACACACATACACACATACACACACACACACACACACACACACACACACACACGTGGAATAGCCTAGAAAGTGACGTAGTGGAGGCGAGA